GATAGATAATTAACAGCTACAACAATCCAAAGAGGAGTGAAAGAGGAAATCGTGGAGTGGGATGGTGAGGGAAATTGGGATTTGAGGTGGGTACTGAAAATTAGGAGGGAGAACATCCCTCATTGTTTTTTCCTCAGGAATCCCAGGGGAATCACAACCATCCAGGCCTTCTCTTCATTGGTAAAATTAAATGGCTGAACTTCCTATGTTAACATCCTATTAAGTGAGCTAATGGATGTTAGCATACTTTGTAAACCATAAAATGCTATACTTGTTATTCACTCATGTCTGACTCTATGTGACCCCATGGACAAACGAAGAGATTTTCTTGGCAAAGATACTAGAATGGTTTGTCATTTCCTTCTCTAAAGTGTCCATATTTTTACAGATAAGGAACTGAGGCAAATGGGGGTAAGCGACTTGTCCAGGGTCAAACAGTTGGATCTGAACTCAGAACTTCTGGACTCCAGGCTCAGTGCTCTATCTACTGCACCACTTAGCTGCCCCCCAAATGCTACACAGATATTAGTAATTGTGATCAAGTTTATTCTGTGTTCTAAGGTTCCTCTTAGTTCTGACATTCTATATTCTACGGTCCCATTCAGCTCTGACACTTTTATGTTCTAAGAACCCTCTTACTTCTAACGGTCTGTGTTCCAAAATCCAAATAAGTTCTGGTATTCACATTCTAAGGTCTCTTTTAGTCCTTACATTCTACTTTCTAAGATTCCCTCCTGACATTCCAGGTTCTCAGGTCCCTTCCAGCTCTTGAGATTTCATGTTCTATGACCTATCTCCACACTAACAGTCTGTGTTCCAAGATCATAATATTAGTTGACATTCCACATTCTAAGGTAAATTCCAGCTCTGATATTTTAGAGTTTCTTTTAGTTCTAACATTCTCCTGTTTTTTTTTTTTTTTTGGGTAGACTAACGAGTATATCACAGAAACGAATAGATCCCAAAAGGTCCTTGGATACTATTTTTTTTACACAAGAACACAAACGTGGAGAGACACTTTGACAACAGTGCACCATTAAGTTCAGGTTTTATGGGATTGTGTTTCCCCCAAAGATCAGACTTCAAATTGAAGGGAAAATAAAAGAAGGTGGGGAGGTGGGAAAGAAAGGGGAAGAAGGCAGAGAAACACAAGGGGAAAAGAGAATTAGAAATGAAAGGATCAAAAGGAGGCAGGCATGAAACGATTGCCATTGTACCATCACCCACGCCATTCTGGGGCTGGAAGGTAAGGGATGGGAGGTAGGCTAGAAGATGCCTCCCAGCAGAGAGGCTCAGGCAGCAGAAGGTAATTTCACCTGAGCTTCTATCGCCACCTTGTGGCCAAATTCCCTCATGATGCTCTGATTTCGTCTCACCTCATTTCTAAATAGACTCCGTTCTAGTTGGCCTGAAGACCTCTGTGTCTGGGGATGGGGGCTGTCTCTTACCTGAATAGAGATTATTGTGCTTGTCAGGGCTGGAACATGAGATGAAATGTCTGGGACTCCCAGAGGAGCAGTCTAGCTAGGAAAAGATGGAGTCGGGGCAGTGATTTTGGACCCAGACACGGAGTGAGCGCCCAAGGGTAGGCTCCCTTTCTCAGCTCAGGATCCGTGTGCTGGATCAATTTCTCTACTCCCCCAGGCCAGGCCACCATAGTCTTTCTCTTGATCTCTGAGAAAACGTCTCAGAGTCAACCAATCAAACAACATGGAAGATTATCAGCCACTTATAATGACAATAATGACATACATTTATAGAATCCTTTTAGAGTTTACAAAGGCTTTGCCTCAAAACAATTGTGATTTGGCTAGTGTTAATGTGAAAAATCCTCATTTTACATGGGTGGAAATAAGGTCTCAGAGTAGAGTTTCTGCATAAGGTCAAGTAGCTGGCATCAGGACTCAGATTTTAACTCAGGCAATTTGACTTCTCTGTCTAGTCCATGCAAAAATGGAATTTCTGTCCTTATGGAGCATATAGTCTGGTGACACTCATTCAGATATGCACATACACACACATGCATATAGTACCTTCAAGTTAGCAAAGTATACATTACCTCATTTGACCCTCACAACAACCTTGTGAAGAAAATGCTATTATTATTCCAATTTTACAGTTGAGGAAACTGAGGCAGACAGAGGTGAAATGACTGCCCAGGGTCACACAGCTATTAAGTGTGTGAGGCTGTATTTGAATTCAGGTCTTCCTGACTCCAGGCCCAGAGCTCTATATATTGCATCACCTAGACCCTTTAATAGATGACTGGCCCCTCTCTGTTCTCAATCAATTTCCTGGATGTAACATTTTATCCCAGTCCTTGAAGGTAATTCATCAATGAGGATATCCACTACTTATGTCCACACAGACATCTCTCCATTTCCCTTGGTTCACCCATGGCTTTGATTCTTCAAAAGCTGTGTTATGTTATGATGTAGCCACCTCTTTTTGCTGTAAGGATGTTGGCATTTGACTATTTCTGTGTCAGGGAGCAGCTGAAAGCCCGTGCAGATCCCCAAAAGCTTGTAATGTTGTGGGATTATAGATTGAAAGATGGAAGGGCCAGCCTCCTTGATATGGCCACTTTTTTTAATGGTTAAAGGTTTTATTTTAAGATCACAGATAATTACAGTTAACACAGTCTTTCGTTCATAGACGTGTTACAGTCGCAGGTTGTAGCTTTGGAGAGCAAGAGTTATTCCAGGAAAAAGGTTTACTTTAACAGCCACTCGTCGAGATGAACAATAAAGATAAGGCAGAAGTGGGATATGTAGGCCCAGCACTAAGACCTACCTACTGGAGCATTCCCAGCAGCCACAGGGCCCACTCCTGACCTGCTTTTTGGAATCTTACATATACAATTGGTTCCAAAGGTGGCATCCTGGGTCTGGATGCAATGAAGGCTGCACAAATTTTCATAACTTTATTTTTGCTATTCAGCAATCAAATTCTGACCTGCATAACCTTCTTTAACTTAGTGCTCACACAATTCTTTACTTCTGTCTTTCCTCTTAAAAAAAGAGGATATATATAATATAAATAAACATAAGTATTATGCACATATATACATACACACACAAACACACACATATAAATGTATATATATATGTATATATTCCTGGTGATGAATCCTGAAGATTGTCCAAAGAGATTTCATTTTCCTCTTTCCTTCATGAGGTTCAGTTTCAGCTTTTCTCATCTTCTGATCCAATTCACCCAATGTTGGTTTGATTAGCTCCTAGCCATCTAGAGGAGCTTTCCTGCTTCTTTTTACTTTGGGCATCTTTGACCGCTTTGACAACTACCAGTCCAGGTTCAATTTCTTTCCTACAGCTCTGTCCCAACTCTTGTTGCCTGTTGTTTTTTTTTTTTTTGTAAATTATTTTTTATTTCTTTTTTAGGCAGTCAGGGTTAGGTGACTTGCCCAGGATCACATAGCTAGTAAGTGTCTGAGGTCAAATTTGAACTCAGATCCTCCTGACTCCAGGGCTGGTGCTCTTTCTATTGTGCCGCCTACTTGTCCTTTATTTTTAAAAATCTATTTCTAATATTCATTTAAAATTTTTTTGAGTTCCAAATTCTCTTCCTCATTTGGCCCCTCCCCAACCCATTGAGAAGGCAAACAATATGATATCAATTAACACATGTAATATCACGCAAAACATATCTCCATGTTAGCCATGTTGCAAAAAAAAAAGCAAGAAAAATAAAGTGAAAAAATTATACTTCAATTTGCACTCAGTACATTAGTTCTTTTTCTAGAGGTAGATAGCATTTTTTATCATGAATCCTCCAAAATTGTCTTGTATTATTGTATTGATTGGGCAGCTAGGTGGCACAGTAGATAGAGCACTGGGCCTAGAGTCAGGAAGACTCCTCTTCCTGATTTCAAATATGGCTTTAGACATTTATTAGCCATGTGACCTTAGGGACTATAGACTTTTAAAACTGCAAGGGCCCTTAGAATCTGAGTCCCTTGTTTTACAGATGAGGAAACTGAGGCCCACGGGGGTCAGGTGATTTGGTTAAGACCACATAGACAGTGAGCAAGCAAAACCGCATCTTTTGACTGCAAATCTAGGACTCTTTCCATTATACAACACTGTCTGGAATTAGGGACCAGAGCAACATGCCAGGGCTCCTGGATCCTTTTATTCCTAATCTAAGAGAAATTACTGAGCAGTGTTCCTGCCCGCCACTTCCCGGCCCCCCACTCCCCTCCAGCCAACCTCTCAGCTCCTATTGGCACTGCCCTGGACAGATGTTCCTCACTCCTCTCCGCCCTCACCCTCACATCAGGACTAATCTGCCCGTCAGGGATTGGACACCTGGGTAGCCAGATGGATGGGAAGCCATTTCTGCCCCTAGCAGAGGGCTGGTGCTAGGGGCCACAGGGTGGTAAAGCAGTTTGGGTTTCCAGAGGAAAAAGAGCAGGGATGTGAGGGCTCCGTCCTGGCGGGAGTCCTGTGCAAGCTTTAGCTGTCTTTTCGTCTGTCTCTGGAGACCTTTTGGGAATGGGTGAATTTCCATTTGGGTTTTGGGGGCTATTTGGGGCTTTGGCCTTAGAATTGGGGGAAGGGCTGATTCTAAGGGTCTACTGGGGATCTGGGAAGGGGCTGGAGAATGGGGGGAAGTTATGGGGATTAAAGGCAGGTGAGAGGGTTTCTGAGAATCTCCCCTAATCTTATGGGCTAATATAGAACAGAACTATGGGAGCTCATTTTGTCTTTTCCTTTCTCTGTCCTTATTCTCCACTCTATTAGACACTGTCACTCCTCTGTCCATGGTCCCTGCTCCTCAGTCTCAGTCCTGGCTTCCTCCTTAGCTCTATCCCGCTGAGTCTCCCTTTCTTCCCTGTCCCTACCCTCCAATCCCTGAGCTGACACCATTCCCTGCCTCTCTCCTCCACCCCCCTAGGCTCCCTCATTTCTTTATTGTTGCCATGTCCTTCCCAACCTCTTAGGTCCCTCTCTTTTCCTGACTCAGTTTCCCTGCTCACAGGGTGTCCCAGACTCTGGTGCTGAGTCCCTGTAAGGACGGAGAGCTTTCTTTAAATCCATGGCTGGGATGAAGCCCCAGGTAAGGAGCTCATTTGAAGGAAGTCTAACGCCAACCCTTAAGCCCCCCACAGCTACCCTTCCAAGTAATTAGTAGTAGAATTGGGATATATTCTAAGCTCCTTTCCAGCATAAAATTCAGTTCCCACTTTCACACAGAACTGAGAGGGACCTTAGAACCCAGAATGTCAGAACTGGGAGGGATTTTAGAACAGAGAGTATCACAGCTGGGAGGGGCCTTAGAGCACAGAATGTCATAACTGGGAGGGAACTTAGAACACAGAGTATCACAGCTGGGAGGGGCCTTAGACCACAGAATGTCAAGGCTAAGAGGGCCTTCAGAATACAGAATGTCAGAGCTGAGAGAGATGTTAGAACACAGAATGTCAAGACTGAGGGCCTTTAGAACACAGAATGTCATAACTGGGGAAGGAACTTAGAACAGAGAGTGTCAGAGCTGGGAGGGAACTTAGAACAGAGAATATCAGAGCTGGGAGGGGCTTTAGAACACAGAATGTCAAGGCTAAGAGGGCCTTTAGAATACAGGATGTCAGATCTGGGAGGGGCCTTAGAACCCAGAATGTTGAAGCTATAAGGGCCCTAAGATAACAGAATGTCAGAACTGGGAGGGGCCTTAGAACACAGAATGTCATAACTGGGAGTAAACTTAGAACAGACAATGTCAGGGCTGGGAGGGAACTTAGAACAGAGAATGTCGGAGCTGGGAGGGGCTTTAGAACACAATGTCAAGGCTAAGAGGGACTTTAGAATACAGAATGTCAGATCTGGGAGGGGCCTTAGAACCCAGAATGTCAGAGCTAGGAGGGGTCTTAGAACCCAGAATGTCAGAGCTAGGAGGGATCTTAGAACCCAGAATGTCAGATCTGGGAGGGGTCTTAGAACCCAGAATGTCAGAGCTGGGAGGGGTCTTATAAATGATCTGTTCTCTCAGGGCCTACTCCACTTGTTGGATAGAAGGTGATAGAGAAAGGACCATACTTCCTTTCCAGGAGCCTTCTTGAGGAAAGAGGTGTGGGGTTTGTAGGGTTTGACAACAGAATGGGGATGGTGGGGGAAGTCATACTAAGCCTAGGGAGGCCTGCTTGGTCTCTTAGGTGCAGAGCCACAATCGAGAAGGGAGAGGAAGGATTCCCAGAGTCTGAAAATCACTTCCATCTTTCACATCCCTAAGAGGGAACAAGGCTAGAGGCTAGAGAGGATGCAGCTGGCGGATTAGAGATAAAGACCCATTCCCTCAAGAGAGAGATTATCGGAACAAATCCTGCGGTTAGAGCCTGATGCCAGGGATCAGCTGAGGGCCGGAGATGAGGGTGGTCCTTGGCAGGACATCAGGGCTGATTGATTTGGGGTGACCTACTCCTGCTTCAAGATGGAGGAAAAGCACCAGCCTCATGTTGCCCTTCCTCCTCCTCCTCCTCCTCCTCTACTAACTGAGTTTCTATGCCAGCCCTGACCGGTGCCCAGTACACAGCAACGTCTCGTTTCAGCTAGCGGCTCTGGGATCCTAGGGGAAGAGATGTGGCCTCGCTGGGCTTGGGCGACCCCCCCCTGAGCCGGCTGAGTGGGCTCCAGGCAGCTGATGGGGCAAGGCTTGGGCTGCTGCTCTTCCCTATTACAGGGTCCCACATCAGCCATATGGCCTTTCACTGTCTTGAGAGCAAGGTGAGAGGGAGGGCTGGAGCGTGTCTGCCGTTCCATGTGTACGATACCCCCGAAGGTGGCAGAGGACTCAGTGTGGTGGAGGTGGAAGGAGCCTGGCAGTGGAAATCAACCTACTTGGGTTCTAGACCTTGCTCTGCCGTGAACTGACCACATGACTCTGGGCAAGGCAGGTCACCTCTAAGGAATTAAATTGGCTTATCTGTAACATGGGGATAGAGGTAGCATTGGCTTCATTAGCCTCCAGGGTCTCTCCCAGCTCTGATGTCCTGTGTTCTAAGGGTCCTCCCAGCTCTGACACTCTGGGTTCTAAGGGCCCTCCCAGCTCTGACACTTTGGGTTCTAAGGGCCCTCCCAGCTCTGACAGCCTGGGTTCTAAGGCCCCC